TACCAAAACATTAACTCCGAGAAAATGGAAGAGAAAATCATCGCCGCTGCTGTGATTCCTACTGATTTTGTATCATTTATGACATGATTGTTTGCTTATAGGGACCGTATGAGCGCAACTTTTATTTGAAATATTTACTAACGCTCGTTTTAAAGCGGGAATGCAATTAATTTGCTCACGGTGACACCGATTTGACCGCAATAATAATAATAATAGCTAACTATTTTTTTTCTCGACCAAATGTGACCAAAACGGTTATAAAAATGCTGTCATTATAAAAGGTTTCTTCAATGTATTGCTTGTTTTTTTTCTGTGTATTACATTTCATGTTGTGACATTTCTATTCTCCCTGCAACGTCAGAGCGTTCAAAGCGTCCAAAGTGTCAACAAGGTCTCCCTAATGTCCTGGTGGTCCCGAGTCTGGTGGTCCCGAGTCCAGTGGTCCCGAGTCCAGTGGTCCCGTCTGCCCAGCGAGAGACTGTCCACGTCCCGTCTGCCCAGCGAGAGACTGTTCATGTCCCGTCTGACCAGTCCGAGACTGTTAACGTTCCGTCTGCTTTCCTAAGCCGGGACTATCTGGAGCGTCTGGCTCGGATATTGGATATGCCGGTGTTCGGTGTTTTCGGGGCTGGAGCCAATGCCTGTTCCAGAGGCAGAGCCAATGCCTGTTCCAAAGCCCATGTCGGTTCTGGACCCTGTGTTTATGTCTGTCCTTGTGACTCTTTCTGTTTTAATATCTGTTCCAGAGCCGGTGTCTGTTCGTGTCTGTTCCAGAGCCGGTGTCTGTTCCAGAGCCGGTGTCTGTTCGTGTCTGTTCCAGAGCCGGTGTCTGTTCGTGTCTGTTCCAGAGCCGGTGTCTGTTCCAGAGCCGGTGTCTGTTCGTGTCTGTTCCAGAGCCGGTGTCTGTTCCAGAGCCGGTGTCTGTTCGTGTCTGTTCCAGAGCCGGTGTCTGTTCCAGAGCCGGTGTCTGTTCCAGAGCCGGTGTCTGTTCGTGTCTGTTCCAGAGCCGGTGTCTGTTCCAGAGCCGGTGTCTGTTCCAGAGCCGGTGTCTGTTCGTGTCTGTTCCAGAGCCGGTGTCTGTTCCAGAGCCGGTGTCTGTTCGTGTCTGTTCCAGAGCCGGTGTCTGTTCCAGAGCCGGTGTCTGTTCGTGTCTGTTCCAGAGCCGGTGTCTGTTCCAGAGCCGGTGTCTGTTCCAGAGCCGGTGTCTGTTCGTGTCTGTTCCAGAGCCGGTGTCTGTTCCAGAGCCGGTGTCTGTTCGTGTCTGTTCCAGAGCCGGTGTCTGTTCCAGAGCCGGTGTCTGTTCGTGTCTGTTCCAGAGCCGGTGTCTGTTCCAGAGCCGGTGTCTGTTCGTGTCTGTTCCAGAGCCGGTGTCTGTTCCAGAGCCAGTGCCTGTTGGACGCCCGATGGACTATGTGTTCTGCCCTGGCCGCCCGATGGACTATCTGTTTCGCCCGGGCCATCCAGGAGTAAGCGGTCTGTCCCTCCTGTCCCGCCCTGGTCTGTCCCTCCCGTTTCCCCCCTGGTCTGTCCCTCCCGTTTCACCCCTGGTTGGTCCTTCCCGTTTCACCCCCTGTCGGTCCCTCCTGTCCCGCCCTGATGTTTCCTTCCTATCCCGCTCTGGTCTGATGGAGCGTCTGGGATCCGCTCCGTAGGGAGGGGGTTATGTCATAGTGTCTGGTTTGTGTTTCCCTGAATGTCCACTAGAGGTCTCTTTCCCCATACTGTCACCATTCACTCTGGAACTGCAATTCCCACGATCCTTTGTCTTCCTCATCACTCATCATTGCACACAGCTGTTTCTAGTTACGATGTTTAGTTTAGTATATATGTTGCACAAAGTATTAAATGAAGATGAATATATATATATTTTTAAAATCCAGTCTGTTTTTCTTATATTTAAGAATGCTGACCAACCGTCATCTACCAAATGGGTACCAGCTTAACTTTTTACGCTTAAGCGTAAATTGTTGGACTAGTTTTTTGGACTAGCAGCTGTAGCAGAGGCTAATCTAGAAAAACTGTCCAGGGTTTGGGTAAAATGGGGTTGCGACTCGGCCCATCACCTGGAAGGTAACCCCACCATTCATGAGATCCAAACAACTAAAGAATCCAGTGGAAGCTGGGAAAATTGAAACTCCTTGATCATTAAGTAAACGCTTGACTGAGTCACCTACCATACAGATAATTCAAAGGAACAGAACAATATCAGAATCAAATTGTGTCAATATCTAAATTGTGTCAATATCAGAATCAAATCGCCAAATAGTTCACTGCAATGTCATCCTCCCGAAGTATTGCAGACAAACTGCCCCTTCTGAATGTATAGGTTGCCAAAGACATCTTTAACTTGCACCAGGACTGCGACAAGAAACCGCACCGATTTAAGCAATAATAACCGCTTGCGTCACAATATCCATTTGACTTGAAATAGCGCCCGTACGCCATTTAGAGGTCATTTTACGTCAATACTTTGGTAAAGCATTTGACTGAAATAATATAGATGAAGCTTAAAAAATTTGAATATCGTGCAAAAGTTATAATTTTGATGATTATGGCTTACAGCTTATGAAAACCCCAAATTCAAAATGTCAGAAATTTTGAATATTTGATGAAATGAATAAAAAAAGGAATTTAAATACTGAAATGTCGGCCCTCTGAAAAGAATGCATATGTATACATATACATACTAAATGTATTAGTTTTTACACCTTTTAATTTGAATTACTGAAATACATTAAATTTTGCACGATATTCTAATTTTTAGATTCGGTTTGTTTATTACGACCACACAGTCCTTCGACTGCATTCTTAAATAATTATATAAATGTATTCTGACTTATAGATGTTTGTAAATGTAGTCCCTCCAAAAAAATGTGATTATGTGATCGCTGAATTCAATGCATAATCAGCCAAAGTACGCATTTTTTTCAAATACACCGCACCTTTGCCGCATAAATTGCAGATTTCTGTGCAAAATGCGGGGTTTGCATGATTTCATAATCCTCGCATTTTCGCTGGAAAAAAGTCACAAATATCTTAGCAGAAAGTTGAAAAATGTTGCGTTTGCTTCAAACAAGAGCAGCCATTTCCCCGTTTCCATGGGAACGTTATGAAGCGACGCAATGGGCTCTATGCACGGCGGTATTCCCGGTGAAGTTTTAAGGATGCTCGATAACTTCCGCCAATCGTAGAGTTTTATTAAAACTGATGAAGTCCCTGTTCTGAATGAGCCCAATAAAGCTGATGACAGTCATGACCCTAATGAACTCCTGGTCCTTCAGAGCTTTCGGCAGCCTAAGCTGGACTGAGTGTGTGTGGACGCTGTTACTGGGAGATTGAGTGGAGTGGAGTCTCTTTTTGGTATTGTTTTAGGGAAATCCTGGCTTTAGATGCCACCATCCTCTCCTCTATTGTGGTTTTGGTGCAGACCCTCTTCATGAGGAGATCATCAGCGTACAGGAGGCTTTTGATTTCTCTGCCCTCGAGGGTCAGACCAGGACAAGAGGACTTCTCCAGAGCTGATGCCAGTTCATTAATATAGATATTAAATAGGGTCGGGCTGAGGCTGCAGCCTTGATGGACTCCTTTAGTTTGAAATAATCGGTACGTTTGTCATTAATCTTAACCCCGCATTTGTTCCCGTTGTATATATCCTTTATGATGTCATATGTCCTTCCTCCTATTCCACTTTGGATAAGCTTTAGGAAAAGTCCATTATGCCATACCGAATCAAAACCCTTGTTCGGGTGTTCAAAACCCAAACCCTTGTTTTGTTTGTTGGACGTGTTTTTGTACGAGTGTGTGGAGTGTGTAAATGTGATTTGATGTTCTCTGTTTAGGCATAAATCCAATCTGACAGCTGTTTAGGGTCTTGTGTTATTGCAGGAACTGGACGAGCCTGTCGTTGATGATGGAGCAGAAGAGTTTGCCCAGGTTGCTGCTCACTGTAATGCCCCTGTAATTATTTGGGTCGTACTTCTCACCCTGTTTAAAGATTGGTGTGATCAAACTTTCTTTCCATATCTCAGGAAAGCGACCTGCTTTTAATAAAAGATTGAATAATTTGAGAATTGCATCTCTCAGTTTGGAGGTGCTGTGTTTCAGCATCTCATTTGATATTAAATCCACGCCACAGGATTTTTTATTTTTTAGGGATTTCATCTTGTCTGTCAGTTCGTTCGGTAATATGGGCTGGTCTAACTGGTTTAGCTGGTCTTTTACAGAGTGTTCTACGACGCATGCGCGAGAATTGCGATCTCCTTTAACTTCTTCAGTTCAGTTCTCGCGCATGCGTCGTGGAAATTGTATGGAAGTCTCGTTTCAGGCCAACAAGGAAGAAAAGGAATAGTCGAATAAAGTCGTTATTTTTGTTTGTTTTTTCGCACAAAAAGTATTCTCGTCGCTTGATAAACTTATAATTGAGCCACTGTAGTCACATGGAATATTTAAACATTTTCTTCATTGACTTTCTGGGCCATCAAGAGCCAGTCCCTTAGGCAGCCAATGTGGTGGTTATACAGCTCTCAAATTTAATCAAAAATATCTTAATTTGTGTTCCGAAGACGAACGAAGGTCTTACGGGGTCGGTACAGCATGGGGGTGAGTAATTAATGACTTAATTTTCATTTTTGGGTGAACTAACCCTTTAAGCAAAGAACACAAAAGAACTCAGCCTGATATTGGAAACACGTATGTGAACCTTCTGAGTCAGTAGCCAGTTTCAAGAAACTGATGATGTACGCATCTTTTTTGCCAGCACTTGATTCAGTAGTACTAACACTTTCTCTTCTATTCTTTACTAATTTTTTTTTTTAAATGCACTAACATTAAACTGAGAGGGGTTATAGCACTTGCGTATTGTTGTCCTACTGTTAGTTTTACTGCTTCTATTGTTCTCATTTGTAAGTCGCTTTGGTTAAAATCGTCTGCTAAATGAATAAATGTAAACCTCTAGGTTTGCTTTGTTTCGACAAGTCTTTTCACAATAATGGCACATGAGCGTCTTTTTACTTGATTTATTGATTTATAGGAGTTATTGCATGAATCCTAAAATGATTAATGTATGTAAAACTCCTTCCACACTGAAGACACATAAAACCGTTCTCTCATACATGAATACTCATTTGGTACCTAAGGGTTTCTTTATTTCAGAATCTCTTTCCACTCTGACCACATATAAACAGCTTTCCCCTGATGTGAACTATCATGTGCCTGTTAAGGGTTCCTTTCTGGTTGAAACTTTTTCCACATTGTTTGCAGGTGTAAGGCTTCTCTCCGGTGTGAACTCTCATGTGGACTTTAAAGTGTCTTATTTGATTGAAACTCCTTCCACACTGAGGACAAGTGTAGGGTTTCTCTCGAGAATGGATTCTCAAGTGGTCTTTAAGTTGTCCTTTCTGAATGAAACTCTTTCCACACTGTTGGCGTATGTAAGGCTTCTCTCCAGGGTGAATTCTCATGTGGGCATTAAGGTTTCCTTTTCTGTTGAAACATTTTCCACACTGTTGGCAGGCGAAACGTTGCTCTCCCGTGTGAATTATCATGTGGTATTTAAGGTTTACATGTTGATCAAAACTCTTTCCACACTCTGGGCACACATAAAGCTTCTTTTCAGTGTGAGTTCTCATGTGCCTGTTAAGGATTCCTTTCTGGTTGAAACTCTTTCCACACTGAGGACAATTGTATGGTTTCACTCCGGAGTGAATTCTCAAATGGTCTTTAAAGTGTCCATTCTGAATGAAACTCTTTCCACACTGTTGGCAGGTGTAAGGCTTCTCCCCAGTGTGAATCCTCATGTGCCTGTTAAGGCTTCCTTTTAGAGTGCAACTTACTCCACACTGTTGGCAGGTGTAAAGCCTCTCTCCGGTGTGAATTGTAATGTGGACTTCAAGATTTCCGTGTTCAGTGAAACTCTTTCCACACTGAGGACATGTGTAAGGCTTCTCTCTATTGTGAATTCTCATGTGCCTGTTTAGGACTCCTTTTTGGTTGAAACTTTTTCCACACTGTTGACAGGTGAAAGGCTTCTCTCCAGTGTGAATTCTCATGTGGTCTATAAAGTGTCCTTTCTGTTTGAAACTCTTTCCACACTGAAAACACATGTAGGGCTTTGCAGTGTGAATTTTCATGTGTCTGTAAAAGCTTTCGTTTTGAGTGAAACTTATTCCACACTGTTGGCAGGTGACATTACTTCTAGTCCCAGGTGTTTGAGCCATTTTTTGAGAGGAAGTCTTTTCAGTCTGTGAGCAACTAAAAGTTTTTTCTCCAGTAGTGAAATTATGATGATTGTTATATTGATCTTTCCCTTCCATTTCATTCAGTACTTCAGTCTCCTCTTTCAGGCCCATCAAGTCTTAGGGAAAAAAAGAGAAAAAACAATGTTAACTCCAGTTTAATGGCACAAATCGACAGACATCCAAACATTTTTTTAATGAGAGACAGACATCAACGCCACATGCGAGTCAAACAGATATTTCACATTTCATTCTACCGAACTACTTACAAGTGCCGAATTACTCACACTGGTCAGTTTATTTGCAGAATGAAGCTTGTGACGATTAAACTTGAGGTAACAAAGCGCTGTTTCACTTGGTCTACAGTATCACACTAAACAGTAGGGGTGTAAATCAGACAGTTAATCATGATACGATATCGATTCTCTCAGCCAGCGATACGATATTTGCCGAAACCTCAAAAAAGTCTACGATACGATTACGATTCAATTTGATTCAGGGCTGTATCGATCGAACCAGTTACATTTAATAACTCACAATAGATCCAAAAATATATTACATGAAAGTTTAGTTGAAAATTGCACACGCTCTCCAAATTTGATTGTTTGTAAAAAAAAAAAAAAAAAAAAACATGATGAAAATTAACAAGAACTGTTTTTGCAAATGAACGCTTCTGTTATATTAAAGTTCATTGAAAGGATAGTGTGGCAAAAGCAGATAAAGCCACATTTCATGTTTCATAATATAACTTGGTGAATCTGTAACGTCAATCTCGTTAAACTGAGACGCCTGTCAAACTTTGTTGTTGTGATTAATGTACACGAGAGCTTTTCGCTCACCACTAAACATGCTGTTTTAGCAAGATACCGTGACAAAGTGTCGAAGAGCCGAAGAAGATATCACGGGTTCATAAAGTTCGTTGAAATTACTTTTAGTCAGCTTTGACGAAACTCCTCTCAGCTAGCGCGTCGTTTCGAAGTGACAGGCAGCCTTGTCACCTGACCTAAACACTACGCACTGATTCGCTAAAACAGACTTTCCGGGGCTTGTCATTTCTGCTGTAAAACATAAACTCGTGATGGCAGTGGAAAATACCAGCTTTTGTGACAAAGGGTTCAGTCGATCTTGTCAGACGTCTATTTCAGCGGAGAAAAGTTATGTGAGGATGTGGAGTGTGTAAAAATAAAGGTACTGTACATCGATATTTTATGTGTGGTATCGATGCATCGTATCATTAGACGTTTTTAATCGATGCATCGATCCATATCGATGTATTTTTACTAGAGGTCGACCGATTCATCGGATTTGCCGATTAATCGGCACCGATAGTTGATTGGTGGAACTATCGTTATCGGCAAAAATCCGCACCGATAGTTATTTCCTGGTTTCATCCGTTGCTGGGGCGGCTGAGAAGTGCGCGCTGTCATTCATTACACAGTACGAGAGAGCTGAGAAGGATCTGCTGGCATCATGCAGTACAAGAGCGGCCTCTAGAGGTGTGATAAAAACTATCAACTGATGCCTCGTGTTGTTTATTTCGACACGTGACACTGCGCGCTGCACTGAGAGCGTTGTGTGGAGAGCGGAGATCGCTGACATCTGATGCGCGTGCTAAAGCACGGACAGCGAAAAGGTACAGGGAATTTTGTCATATCATTATAAACGGATGAATTTGTTGACTAAATGCTACATTAGTAGAGAAAGAACCGCACAACAGTATGTTTGTTTGCCTTAGAGAGTGGCTGAGAGGACGCACATTAGTAGTACCTCAAGCGGTAAAAACACTGACACAAAAATACACCTAAGTCCGACCCGAATGTTTAATGTCACAAATTGTTCCCATCTATTTGCATTAGTTTATATCCAGCTGGTCACTTTGATGCATTCATTATGCAGCGACGTTGCATTAGAGACGTATGATAGCATACAGCCGACAAAAACAAACGAATCAGAGAAGCATTCGATTTCGGTTCTTTTTTCACCATCACTTTAATACATATTTATTTTTATTAAATATTCTTTAAGTTCTATAAAATACAGGGCTCCTCCAGACTGCGACCAAATAGTCGCATTTTGCGACTAAAATTTGAGAGTGTGCGACTGAATTTTACATCCAGTCGCACATGTGCGACCGGTAATTTGCCACACGTTAAACGCATGGTAAGCGTGGAAGGGACGCGTCAATGAATCCGTGACAAGAATTTCGCGATTAAACGTCTGTGGGAACATGAGAGACGGAGCGAGACGGAGACAAATATCACAACCTGATGTGCGTCTGAGCAATAAGCGATCTATCGACACGTTACCTAGCAGCGAATACAAACAAAATAAAAGTGGAACTAAAATATGCAACTCATATAGGCTCTGCTTCACGGACCGTTGGCGTTTTTATTGGACCAATAATAGACAGAGCAGCGCATAGTGGAGCCCCCTGAACCACCGACAGTAATAAAGCCCCGAACTTGCCAGTCGCTGGTTAACACATTAATAACATTAACTAAGGTTAATAACTGCTGTTCGTTGTTTGTTAATTAACATACTAAATTTTTAAATTAAGGTTTTTATTTGTTAACCATAGTTAAAACTCTATGAACTAACATGAATGATCAAGGTGAAATTGTATTGCTCAAATATTAATGCTGTAAACATTTATATAGCATAATGCACACATAGTTCATGTAAACTAGCTAATAAATCATTGTTAACAAATTGGACTTGCAACATGTTATAGCTAAAGAAACACACATTTAACATATTTTAATGTTTAAATTATTTTCAGATGGCAAATTTTGTTATTATTTGAAACGTCTTTTTTTATTCATTAGGTTGGCTTGAAAAAGAACAGTTAAACAGTTACATTTGGAATGTTTAATTTGTTATTTAGAGTATTATTTTTTGTTTGTTTGAAAGAATGCCTTTTATGCCAGTTTTTTGTATTTTTATAATAAAGTTCAGCACTGTTTTACTTGGAGTGTTATGTTTGTTTTTATCCAGTATCAATTTTAAAAACTATCGGTTGATTAATCGGTTATCGGCAAGTACAGCCCAACCTAGCTATCGTTATCGGTAAAATCCAATATCGGTCGACCTCTAATTTTTACACCCCTACTAAACAGCATTTGAGTGTGTGTTTGCTTTATGCGACTAGCATTGAGCTAGATCAACATTAGAATAACAGATCATCTTCCAACATTACATCATGTTGAGCAGCTATATAACATTGATTAGTTTTATGTACGTTTGCTCACCTGTCTAATAAAGTACATGAAAGAGTGTCGAGTCAAAGTTAGTCGCGGGCGTGGAGCTTTTTTTTCCCAATGTGTGCTTGCCATGGTCCATAATATTTGAATGAAACAACAACGTGAGCGCACCGCTACGCAGTTGTCCACCTCTGTCGCCATGGTTACTACGGCAGTACTAGCGGAAACCAGTGAAAACATGGATATTACGTCATTGACAGGCAAGAAGTGACCAGGGATGAGACATTTTCTCTGAAATTACAAATTCTTGGAAACATTTAGGATTATGAGCAAGTGAAGCTGCACTTCAGTGGTGGTCTCTGAGCACCAGAATGAAAGACCTGTTTCTATTGATTGCTCTGCATTGTGAATGGATTATTTTAAACAATCATATTCCTTTTAACTCTTTTCCTGACAATTATCGATCAGCGCCAGCATTTTTGATCATTTTCACAAAACTTTAATGCCCCCCGGAAATATAAGTTAAATAAAAATATAAGCACTTTGTCAAATAAAAGCGCTTTAATCGTGATACTCTGTGTAAACTATGAGTGACGTAGCTCTTTGAGGTGAACCGAGGGAGGACCACCTAAACCTGCATTATTTGACTGAAAGACAAGAACATTTTGACCGAAAAATACCTAAATTGAAAATACTGTGGAAACAAAGACACATACATCTTGGATGCCCTTGAGGTAAGCTAAAACATATCAAATATTCATTTCAAAGTGAACTATCCCTTTAATAAAGATCAACTGAGTGAGTTTGAGCTTTGAGAATGAAACCAACCTGTTTGTTCCTCAGTATGTTCTTGTTTCACACTGAATGTTTCTTCAATCTCCATGTCTTCACTCTCCTCTTTAATAAATGCCATCTTTATAATAGTGTCACGAGGATCTCAGCCGCTTAACCAGTTTTTCTGTGTGTTTGTCCTGTTTAAAATGAGAATAATTAACAGAAAGTAAAATAAATTCAAAGTAAATCTCTGAGTGTCTCAATCAGCTCTAGTTCAGTAGTTCAGTCAGTCAGAATGGACTTAATGTTAGAATGGATTTTCAGTTGGTAAATCATTACACATTAATGTTAGTTCTCGTTCATTTACACTGTTTGAGCAGCTGGTGACGTCGGCGTGCGGCGATTCGAATCACTGAATCATTTTATGAAGCAATTGATTCAACTGACTCGTTTCTCACATCACTTCTTTCCAGCACATGGATTTGTGTTTACCAAAAACGGGTTCACGTAATAGAGAGCGAAATGAGACGCACCTTTTCTGTTACTCGTGAGGGAATGCGATTTACTCCCAAAGATAACGCTCATAGTGTTAAATAAAGCACTGCAATGTGTTTCTTTCAAAAAAATGTTAATTTATTGTACATTGGCGTCGCCACGGATCAGCTTGTAAAAACGATTGAATGTAATGAACGGGTTGCGTTGATTTAAACACTTTAAATGAGTAAAAACACAAACCTTTCGGCAGCCGATTCACAACCTATGTTCACAACAAAGCAGGAGCGCGGCGCCGGCTTATGACGTCACAAAAAACAGACCAAAATAAAAGTCCTGGTTACACGCTGCTGCTTTTCTTTTGCAACCAACAAGAAAATATTAAGAACCGTCAACCGTCAGTATGAGATTCTGTCAAACAGGCAAAACTGTCATTTTTGGGTGCAGAAACTATTTATACCAGAAATTAAAGTATTAACAAATGTTGTTAGCAAGTAAAAAAAAAAAAAAAAAAAAAACATGTTAAACAGTGTATGACAAAAGAAAAGTTTGAATTATGTGTCGTGGGTTTGGCAATATAACCAAAAAACGTAATTCAATATAAGACCTATTATCAATAACACCAGGTGTGTAAATTCAGTTCTGTTCAGGAGGTTTATTTAAAGTGGTTATAGGAAAATAATTGATCACGTGTTCACACTAGTTCACAGTATGATCATTTGATTTGGGTTTATATATTTCACATTTATTAATAAATCGACATTTTAATTTTACAACAAACAACATTTTATAGAATAATACATTTTATTGAAGGTAATTTTGTGACACTAAAGAACTGAATGACTGATTTCCATAAACATAGAGTATATAGCCTGATGGTGAACTGTCACTCTTTAGACACACTATCCTATCTGTATACGGCGACCATATTTTGATTATCAAAAACCAGGACACTCTGCCCGGCAAACAGGTACCCAAATGATAGTTTACTCAAAGATGCCTTATTAATTTCAACACATTTAAAGTAGGCTATGCCTCCTTTTTATGGATAGAATTTTTGTATATTACAAGACACAAATTCAGATAGGCTTCTTAGGTTACTCAACGTGTTTTATTATGACAGGTTTCAAAAATAATGAATGAAATAATGATAGAAATAATGGCTATTCTGTATTAGGAAAATAAATATATAAATAATAAATAACTAAAGAAATACCTCCAAATTGAACAAAAATAGCTCTCACAAACTTACCAAGAGGAACTAACAAAATATATTTATATATAGTTTTCTTCCTCTTTATCCTGTTTTTCTTCCTCATCCACTTTTGCAAATCTATATTGTACTGTAGAGCTGATCTTTCCCAGCAGTTTTTTGAAAACCCTGACATTTTCATCACTTTATAAAAAACAGCCAGGACGACCAGGACATGAAAACAGGACATGTCCTGGGAAAACAGGACTGTTGGTCACCCTATATCTGTATCTCCTCCTGAGGTCCAGAACGTTAAAATGTAATGTAATTGTTAAGAGCATAAGAAATAAATGAAAAAAAAACAAAACAAAACAAAACCCACACAAAAAAACCCCCGATTTTATTCATATGTTATGCTATGACCTCTGTAGTAGACACATGACTCGATTGTTTAAAAAATAAAAATGACATGAAATTATAAAAAAAATAATGGCAATAATTGAAATAATCTGGGAATAATCTGAATTGATGTCAAAACCTAGACTATAAAACATCAAAATATACTTTATTGTGTACAAAATGACACATAAACTTGTTTCCTATTGTTTTTTGCCTGGAAACGCTTCCAACGCGCTTGCTTGTCCCGTGAAAAATAGGCGCCCGCTCTATTTTCAGCCGCGCATGTCACACAGGCAGCGTCCAAGCTCTAACATGGGAGCCGAAATAAAAACGGACACGCCACGCAGCCAGTGTGTCTCCGGCCTAAATGCTTCCTTACACTGATGCGCTGCAAAACGGTCGTGAAGGGGTTGCCCAAGCACTCTGGTATCGTATTCACGATAGATGTACAACGCAGTGTAGACCGGACACGAGCAGAGCGACGCGACCCGTGAAATCCCCAACAGCACACGGATTCCCCATCCTATTCATGATCAGAGTCAGAGAGTCTTTTGAACCACCACCACCACGTTCAGCTGGAAAACTACTGCAGTCCCTAATTGGCCAAAATGCTCTGTTCGACTTTTCTGAGATCATCTACTCTTCCCTGTGGATGACCTGTGACCTACTTTCTGTAAGACCTGAATTTTAGACATTGAATTTTAGAAACCTGAATTTGAAGTTCTGAATTTATTCATCTTGAAAACTTGAATCTGTATTTTTTAAACTGAATATTTGCACTATTTCAATTCAGAACAAAAAAAAAACTAGCTGTTTGAAAATACATGTCTACGCGAGTGGCAATCCTATCAACACAGTTTCACTGATGATGGAAAAAAAACAGAATTAACCCCAAACCCAGGATAGAGTGTGTGTGTGAATGTGGTCTGGACTGTGTGTATGAGGTTCATTGTGTCAGAGACGCTGTAGAAGGACAGAGTTCCTGCACTGTGATCCACAAACACTCCTATTCTCCTGCTGATGGGCTTTACAGGGAGATCAGTCTGTATGTTATTGTGTCTGAATGAGTAACAGAAGGGAAAGCAGAACAAACTCCAGGACTGATCATTAAATCCAAACAAACACTCTTCCCCCCGTCCCTTCCTGCTGATGCTCTTATATGACTACTGTCAGATTTCTGTGGCTCTTGTTGATCCTTTAGTAACTCTCCTCAATCCAGCACTTGCACAGCATCAGCTTCATTCTCCTCATAGTCATTATATCAGGTTACAGCTATAAGCTCTAGAGTTTCCACTTAAACTAGATGTGAACTTTCCAGTGAAAACTCTTGGATGATCAAACATCTGCAACATTAATATAACAGATCAAGTGCATCAATGGCGTCACATGGCAGAGTTGAGTAGATTTGATCAGGAAATGCAGTTCAAAACCAATGAGTAAATTGAAGATTATTTATAACTTTTGAGCAGTTAGTGACTCTGAAATTCAAAAGGACTCTTAGGACACAATCCCGAGGTCAAGTTTTGTGGTTTCACTTCACTGTCAAATTCATTAATGTGAAACATTACATTAGTAACATTTTCACCACACAGTGAGCTTCAGTGAGTCCTGACTGAGACGTCTCAAACTTCTCTTGTTCTCCAGACTCACCTTATGAGACGCCACAGCCTCTCTCAGCTGCTGAAGATCTTTCTCTCTCTGCTGGATCCTCTGCTGGATCGACCTCTGAGTCTCCCTCAGCTGTAGCTAAAGGACAAACCAATGACAGGAGAAACATCACAATAATCAAGTAAACACATCAAGCATCAGTCAAGTGGTGAGATTGAGGGGTTAAAGATATTACGGGCAGAATCAGAAAAGGTCCACAAGTCGGGACTCGAACTCGGGTCACCCGAAGCGCAATGCCACTACATGTAGGCACACTTGCCCAAGATGCTCAACTGAGTTGGTACTTATCAAGGCTCGAAATTGCGACCATTTTGGTCGCATATGCTCCTGAATTTTAACCTGTGCGACCTAAAAATATATTTGGGAGCATTAGTGCGAGTGCAAATAATGGTTGTGCTGTGACCTGTTTTCATTTCTCTACAAAAAGTTTGCAAATTAATTACTGTGTACCTTATGTGCGCTGATACGCGATGGCCGGACCATCATTTTATCCAACGTTACATAACCAATCAAACTTCATCCTTACGTTCTTAACTTTAAAGCAGATTTTAGATTGGTTAATATCAGCTGTCAATCACTCGCTTTCACGGCGCTCCGTTGTCACGTGTGCCAATATCATCGGGGTCATAGCAGATAGATACTATGCGCGAGAACACCGCAGTCAGCTCAGTACATCTCTGTGATTTATAATAGACATGTTTAATAGATAAAAAGTTGTCATTTAGGAATGAAAATCAGACATTAGATCTTCATTACATCCTAACACAGTAGATGATCTAATCCAAATCAGCGTTGAGGGTCCTCCTTTGGAGGCGTTCGATGCCTCAGCCTCAGTGAAGAGATGGATGGAGGAGGGACAGAGAGCCTGGAGACCAAATTTCAAATCCTGGCCACAGGATGTGAAAAGCCCCAGTGATTGTGATACATTTGTTTATATATAATTTGTAGTTGTGGTGATCTTTAATTTTTGATGGGTGCTCCTTAATTTTCGCTGGTGCTCCTAACTTTTTGAAGTTGGTAGCACCAGTGCTACCAAGTAAAAAAGTTAATTTTGAGCCCTGCTTATTATACTTAATAAGTAAGTAATTACTAATAAGTAATTACTTTGTGACCGCTGAAAGATGTTCTATATAGTATGAATGTAATCCAGATGTCCTACATTGTATCCACACTTATCTGCCTATGTTTTTTAGTACTATGTATTTGTACTGAGTACTGTGTATTAAGACTTCTTTGGTCAAACACTGTTTTTCACCTACTATATAGAAGTGAAGTTTGAGATTTCAGCCTCAGATTTCCCCCCTTGGCGTTTTATGGATTTCTTTTATGCCACTTTAATGTCCTTTTGAGGATTGAAACTTTTGAAAACTATTGACTCTCAATATACGGACAGATGAGACGTTCCTAAAAATACCTTCTTTTGTGTTCCATAGAAAAAAGAAAGTCATACCAGTAAATGATGACTGTTCATGTTGTGGGTGAACTACTGGTTTAAAGGGGTCCTATTATGATTGTTTTTTTCATGTTCATCTTTCTTTAGTGTGTACACAGTAAATTCCCCGGTGTTAAATTTAACACCGCTCGGTGTTTATATGGGAACCACCAGCAGGGTGTTAAAAGTAACACTGATACAGTGTTAAAGTTAATGAGATAATTAAGTGAATAATTGAGTGATGATTGAGCATTATTGAAGACACCTGATGTTAACAAGCAGAATCGCTGAAGGACAAAATCACAAATTGTAAGCCACCGTTATGGAGATCAGTGTTTGCTTTAGTTGGGCTCTTGACACTTATACTTTCACTTTAACTTTGTTTGTCTGCTTTTATTAATTTATAACAGTCAAATGAACAAAGAAAACTGTGATCTGATATTGTTGGTTATGTTTTGACATAATCATGCTGTGATCTGAAAATCTAACTTTTCA